GAAGGTGCGCAGGAACTTCCAGGGTTGAAAAACGAAGATCTGAGCAGTCTGCGTCTTTACAATGGCCTGGAAGTGAGGAGTGGGGCCAGTGGGTGTGAGGGGCCGATCTGACGGCTCCCCAGGGGCGGCCACGTGTGCCCAGGGGAGGCGGAGCTGAACTGCCGCAGAGCAGGCGACATTCTCCAGGGGCCTCCTTCATCACACTCGGAAGAGAACTTCGGGAATTAGGTTTCCTTCACGTCCAACTCTGCAGATGGCAGGCCAAAGGGTGGGTGAGTTAGGCAGAGTCCAGAGGCAGTGCTGGGGTGCAGTCAAGCGCCCGCAAACGCAGTGCACAAGACCCAGGGCACAAGGCAAAAAACAGCTGCTCAAGTTCTCAGCCCCAATCCATCCCTTCTGCCTGGTACCCATCCCTTTCCTACAGGCTGTCAGTCTCCAAACTGAGTCTCAATTTTAGGACCTGCAAAATAGTCTCACCAGGGCTCTCAACTCGCTAGCCTGGGAATGAGAAATGCAGGGCTTCTCATTCTGCGTGGCACATGGAGGAGCGGACGGCGCAGCCCAGGCCCCGACCGTGCATGATGCCCTAAGGACTCATATGCTGTGCAGCGCACAACCACACCTTGCTCTCCGGGTCTGCTAACCACCCTCTCGCAGTCAGGCCTCCAACCTCTCGGCGCAGAAGGCGATGGAGGCGCGGCCGGCAGGGGGAGCGAGGCGGAAGGGAGCCGCGTCCCGTCCAGGTGAGGGAGGAACACTTCCCGAGGGGCAAGGCTCTGCATTCGTTCCGAACCTACGTGTGCCGGTTGTAGGGCTACCGAGTGAGTTTCCTTCTCCCGGTGGAGGGCGGGAACCGGTTGAGAGACGGCTACCGGCGGGGAGAGGAGCGCAGGCCAGATGCCGAGCGAAGCTGAGGCATGGACCTCTCGATTTCTGTGCAGCGCCCAGGGAGTGGGCGGTGGGGGGCGGGGTGGCCCCAAAAGCCGGGCCATGCGGGCTGTAGAGGCAGCTGCTCTGCCGCAGTCTGGAGACTCGGGTGGCCTTGCAGTTCCAGGGCTTCAGGCTCCTTTGGGTCTCTCCGGTTAATCTCCCTATGTTGAACTGGATTGGCGGGGATGGTGGGGAGAAGGGAAGGAGAGGCCGACGCTCGAGACCGAAAACAAGAATATCTGCCGTGAGTGGAACCGGTTAGCCACCACTAGAACAGGCTAAGTGGGACTGTTCACTGGTTCCCAGCGTGCCTTTGCTCGACGGGATTGCTTGCACCCTGCTCGATGTGTCTTCCCTATGGAGTGTTCACAGACCCTGCCCGGGACTGCTAGCGCAGCCACAGCAAGAAGGGGTTAACGGAGGCTGGGGAGACTGCTCCCCTTTCCATCACAGGTGAGGGCCTCTGAACAACCCCCAAGAGGCTGACCTAGAGCATCCTGGAGTCTCGGGGGTTTTTCACTTTCACTTCTCAGTATTGGCCTCACTAGCAGTCTCAGTATCAGGCTGAGGCACTCAGGAAGGCTCTGGGAAGGTTCTCTTAGATGTACAGGACCTCACCTAGGACTCTGTACACCCCTCCCCCCACCTCCCTACCCCTATAATGCAACATCACCTACCAGGGCCCCACATCCCCACACTGGAACTCAGATTACTGGACCTCTCTGGAAGACCTTGGTCTGATGCTGCTACATCTCTCATACAACTTCATGCACCTGCCCACCTGCCCACATCTGGCTGTCCTTTCTATCAGGGGCAGTCCCTTCTGGAGTCCTGGAGGGGGTGGACTCAGAGAAGAGAGAAAAAGCGCATGGCCCAGCGGGTCCACACACTATACTTCTTAGACTGGCCCCTAGGTCAATGACAGCAGGTCACTGTCAGCCCTTGAATGGCCACTCAGGGACCAAGGAATGACTTGGTGACAGACTCCCTTTCCTGATGTGGACCTCAAGCTTCCAGTTGCAGGCTGGGGGTAGGCCAAGGGCCTCAGTCCAGTTACACCCCCCCCCCAATCACACAGCTCCTGGGTACCCATTCCTTGTACTTCTGGCCTTGTTCCTTCCTAGGCAGAAACTTCAAGACTCTTACCTAGAGGGACTTGGAGACAGGGAGAGGTGGAGGTTCTGAGATTGTAAAAGCCCTAAGGAGAGGTTGCCTGCCTCTGGTCCTATCCCAAGTCAACTCAACAGAAGGCCTACAGGGACCTAGCAGAGAAGCCTTGAAAACTGGGTCTACTCTGGCAGTCAGCAGTATGAGGGAGGCTCTTACGCACAAAGGCTATGGACACACTGAACTGGTCAGAGATAGGCAAAGAGAAGCCACAGGCGGAGTGGGGCCTTGGTGTAATGGTGTCTAGAGGCCCAAAGGCTGAGGGCCTGGTCTTGCGCCTTAGCTAGGCCTTCCCCATGGGCAGGCTGGCTGCTAGCTTGAGAGGGGACAGCACCGACCATGCGGTCTGAGTTTCTCCGACGTGTCCTCAGCTCCCTCGGCCGGCCAGGCCCCGCCCCCGGCCCTCCCTGCAACCCGCTGGTGCGCAGGGAGGTCGGAGGAGCGGGCACTGCCCACCCTCCGGATGTAAGAGCGTCCTGGCCAGAGGCGGGCGGTGCGCGCGGGTGCGCGTGACGCTGGGGCTCCCGGGCTGCGCGGCCTGGGCGGCGTCCCACCGCTTGTTTCCCCACCACGAAAGCAGGCTGACCCAAGGGGCCCTGGGGGCATTTGCTGGTGAGGTCCGGTCCTGCGGCACCGAGGAACAGAGGACTCCATAACCCTGGGCTTATCTGTCCGTGGCCTGTACGACAGTAGGAGCTGCCCGCTCACTCAGGTGCAGGGGCCGCCGGGGAGGAGGTGGAGGCAGGTGGGCCAAGGGCAGGGCTGGGCTCAGGCAGTCCCTCAGTGCCTCATCGGTGCCCTGCCACCTCAAACTGGGGCCGAGTGTTCCAGACGTAGCGGCTTCTCCTCTGGGGCTGTAGACGCTGATGGTGGCTTCGCCGAACAGAGGGACGCCCAACCTCCGCAGAAGCAGCGGGATGTTCAAGGGGCGTTGGTCACACAGGGCCCTGGGAGCAGAGGCCAGGGGCAGAGAAGTTGCAAAGCAGGAGGGCCCTGAGCTTCCAGGGCGCTCCAACCGTTCGGACTGACTCCTGGCTGATCCTGGCTGAAAATGGGGAGGCTCATGACGCCATAATCCCCTGGGTCTGGGACCTGCGGCTGTGAGTGGCACTACGGGCCCCCGCCCCCGACCCCCTGCGCTGGGCTGGGCGCGGTGCGGCTAGGCGTACACAGTCGGAGGCGGCGCCGGCCAGGCCGGGGCGCCTATGGACGCGCGGAGCCCGCTGTCTGCCCGGGCCAGCGCGTTCAGCATCGCCTCTCTTGTTGCAGCGGAGGCCTCAGAGGGCACCGCCCACCGGGGCCCCAGGCCCTCGGACCGGGCGAAACTTTGCCCGCTACCTGGATCCCCAGCCGGGATGCACTTCAGCACGGTCACCAGGGACATGGAAGGTGAGCCTGCCATCCGCGTCTACACCGGCTGGCCGCCTGCCGGTCCCCCTCTGCCTGTGAGGTCCTGCGGCCCAGTAGCTAAAAGGGAGCTCAGGGCGAGCGGGGTGGGCTCCAACCCCGAAGCTGGGACTCTGGGACGGGCAAGGGCTGGCATTCCTCAAAGCCAGTCCACCCACCATCCTGGGACTTCAACCTCGAAGAGTTGGCACCACAGCTACACATAGGTCTTCAAGAGGGCGAAGTCATAGCCAGAAGGAGAGCAGAGGAGGCTGTGAGCCTGCAGAAGGAAAGATGGTTAGAGAAGAGACCGCAAGAAAGTCAGGGAACACAGAAAAAGGAGCGAGGGAACAAACAAACAAACAAATAAAAATACAAAGCAATGAAGGCAGCCAAGAGGAAAAGAAATGGAGGAAACAGAAAGTACAAGGTAGGAAAGAAAAAAGGAAGACACTAGAGGAAATAAAAATAAGAAAGAAAATGAAGGAAAACGACAGAAAAGTAGCTTCGTTAAAAATAAAGAACGAGAGAAAGACTCCAGATTTTATTTTATTTTCTTTTAAGAAGCGCAAACAAATAATAGGGAACATGCAGAATAAGAGGAAGCGGGTAGACGGAAAGACAAGGGGCTTTGAAACTGAAGTGGAAAGAGTGACAGCGAAAAAGGAGCAGAGGCGGGAGTTAAATAGAGAAACTGCAGCGATATGGAAGCGAGAAAAATGATTAGGAGGAAAAAGTTAAAGGAGGGAGACAAAAGGTAGAGAAAGCGCAAACAAATAATAGGGAACATGCAGAATAAGAGGAAGCGGGTAGACGGAAAGACAAGGGGCTTTGAAACTGAAGTGGAAAGAGTGACAGCGAAAAAGGAGCAGAGGCGGGAGTTAAATAGAGAAACTGCAGCGATATGGAAGCGAGAAAAATGATTAGGAGGAAAAAGTTAAAGGAGGGAGACAAAAGGTAGAGAAATAAGAAATTGGGGACAGTCTGGGGCAGAGAAGGAGAAGTGTAGCGTGCCAG